ATTTGAGTTGTCGGGGGTGCTTTATAGCAGAAATGAACATATAGGGGTGAAGACTCAGAGTGTACTACGTGATAGTTGTTCATTCTGTCTGTTGAGGGGTAAAGTGTCTACTCAGACGTTATACTCAGACGTGGATAGCTTTATAGCTTTATTATATAAACTGAAAGATTGTATAATAAATAATACTTTTATACAGCAAATCGTTATATTCCCTAGAGTTATAATTATAATAGAAAGGAAGATTCAGTGTATAATAAAGAATACTATATACTTCGCGATATATGTGATTGTTATATAAGGAAAGGAATAACTAACAGGTCGAGCTTTCTGATTATACAACTTCATATAACAATCAAAGATAACTTGAATACGAAAATAATATTAAACGAACAGTTATATTTACAGATTTATCATGGGTCCTGATGTTATATGCAGAACAGGCACAGTAAAGCAGGAGCTTCCACTAGGATTTGTTCCAGAACTACGAAATAAACTTTTATCTTGTAAGTCTACACATTGGCCTAAAAGCTTCTTGAAAAGTTTAAAAGCTCACAGGATTTTTGAACTTTTATAGTGCGGTTATAACATAGAAATTGAAACGATGTTAAAAACATAACATGCGGCAATAATTTAACCTTCCAAGTCCCAATGATTACAATGATAATAAAAAACACTATACCTAGTTCTCCGCATTTTTAGATTCTAGATAAATATATATATATAATTAGGAAAAGATACAGTGTATGGTGTTTTGTTTACAAACCTCCTTTTAAAATAAAAAATGCTTAGAGTCGTAAAAGTATGAAATATATAACTTCAAATAAACTTATTCAAATACATTACCGATAACTTAAAGCCAGCCATGTTAAATATAACAAGAAACTCTGCTGTTAAACATTATCTCTCCTAAATAAGCCATTCCACCAACTTTAATGCAAACAACCTGCATAACTGAGTTCCATTCATAACACCATATCACTAAAGCAAAGTAAACAACTATAACCAATTTTTTCACATGGCCAAAAACCATGACACAAAGTTGACCAAAGCTTATCAATGAAAGGAGGCCCTTAAGCATGCGTAGGCCAAGTGGATTATATTTCAGCATTTTGCGTAGGAGCTCTCGAAAAAGCCAAATAAGCCAGCCATGGAGGCATATACTGTAGATAACAAATAAAATTGACTAACGGCCAAGACATGAAGCTAGTTGGCCGCGTTTGTCAAGAGTTATTTCCATTTTATGAGTATTGATATGGGTCAGAGAGAGAGAGACTACCCCAACTTTTATTGGAGCGCCAGTTGAGTAGCTGACAAGAATAAAGAACATTTAATTTCGATAAGAAATGCACTTAAATTATTTTGTACGCAGATAGGAAAATGTTATTAAGTATCGGAAATGAAAACGAACATAAAATAATGTCCTACTGTCTTTTTCGAAATCATCATATTAAGCGAAATATTTTATGAAAATTAAATTAAAATTAGAAGGTGACCTAATTAGATACACCTTCCTTGTAGACATTTAAGTTTTATTCGCCATTTATCATATACGACAAGTATTAAAGCCTTATCATTTACACAGTTATCATGAAATGTATATTAAATATGTTCCCTCGAGGCCGAATAGGTTGTATATCTCAATAAATAAGAATATTTTGGGATTATAAGCCATTTCTTCTTAATAAGAAGTCCTGGGTTTCAATTTTGATTAAAATATTGACATATCTGACTAAGTTTAAACCTGAATTAAATATGATTTAGGCTATATTGGACTTCTAAGAAATTTGTTGACAGTTGTTAAACTAATCAAAATGTGGATAAGAAAATTGCATTTTTGCCTAAACTCAGGAAGTGCAGGGTTGCGAACCAATATTAGAATCCCCTTGGAAATCAATTTCCTTCCACCCCCACTGGAGCAAGGATTAAAGGGATGCCTAGCCTGGTCAATGGACTCGGAGCAACCCTAAAAGAGGAAAACTGCAAACTTTTCCAAGGCCAAATGCATCCCGTCCCAATCAGCCAAGAGTTTCCACACTAGGGTGTATCGGATGTCGTGTGTATTCAGCTAAAACATCTAATTAAAATGCCGCCTTCGTCAAATAGAAATGAAAAGTCATTTAAGCGGGAGGAAATGAGCATTTTCAAATGGGAATAGGGAGGAGAGTACAAAAAAGAAATAGCGAACCTATTGATAACTTGAAAGAAGTGAAGATTCTTACCCCGCTTTCCGCAGGGCAAAACAATTTCAATAAGGAAATTCTTACTTTGACAAGCCATTTGGCCCCATAATTGCCAACTAATGAGGCTGGCGGGCGAGTTTTTAATTTCGACCCGGCTAAAAGGAGTTTGGCTGGGGTGTGAGATACTTTAAAAACTTGCCACAGATAAAAGGCGACAGCAGCAACAGCTCGGCAAAGTTCTTTCGGCAATTAACTTGCCGCACATTAAATACTAAAAAAAAGAAATGAAATCAAACAAAAAAACAGAGTTGGAGTAAGAATCTTTTTAAGGGGGTGGCAAGGAAAAAGACCCAGGACACAGAAGGACAATGAAGTTGAAGGCACAAAGACAAAGCAAAGGCCACAGACGGGAGTTCAGAGGTTGCAGTTGCAATTTGGGTCAAGCCAAAAAGATAATGCGGTTCGCGGCTTCTCTTCTTTTTTTTCCCTGCCACCGAAACTTTTGTTTGCATCTTCCATTTCGCAAAAACGCCATGTTCTATTTCTTACTTTCGGTGAGCATTTTCTTTAGTAAGTTTACCATAATTTAAGAATTTAATTTCCAAGTAAAATTTCACGAGTTTATGTTTATTAAATTTTAAATCAAGACTTTTTAAGATAATGTAAGCTTAGATAAACCTATTACTTCAAATTTTCAGTGCTACAAGTGCACATATAAACGACTTTTAGGAAGTTTTACTCTGCTTTAAATGGTTATGTCCAATAATTCATGCAAATTTGTGTTTCCAGATATTGCACTAATCTGCTGCATTTCTATACCATACTATATATTTAATATATTTGGCGAAAGATTTTGATGGAAGCTACACACTGTCCAACTTGAAATAAAGAAAACCAACTGTTTCCTTAGGAATAATCAAAGTTGTATTTGTCATTAATAGTTTCTATCTCTAAGTCCACCAACAGCTTTGCTATGATCTAGATTAAAGCCATTTATCTTAAAATTTGGAAAACCTTTAGAAACAAGTAGGGTTTCATGGAGTAGTGGGAGTTTTCCGTGCGTTGAAAAACTAATTTACGGTGTTTTAATAATGTAAACATTATTGATATAATAAACTATAAACATTATTAATATAGTAACTGGGAACTCTGTCGTTAATCCTTATAACTCAAATACCAAAAACTCCTATTAAACTAAACATTACAGTATCTGTTTTAGAGAAAAAACATTTCTGGGTTAAAAAATGGTTTGTCTTGAGGCCCTTGATCCTATAAAACCGAATTTTTCAATGTTTTCCAATTGGATTTTGGAACCAAACGAAGTTTAAAGTTCATTTTATGAAATACCGCCGTATACGGTAAATAAAACCGGGCTGTGCTGCACCGATTTTAGAATGGACTGTTAGTTGGATTACAGATACCATGCACATTTCTGTGGCAACTTTGGGACTTTGTCTCTGATGGCAAACTTCAAGCCCGCCCACGCCACTTTTTTTAGGACTGGTTTGTCTTTATAAACAACAATTCCGACCAGCATGACAAGATCTGTTTTAGCTGTTGGGTTTGGTCGAACACACATGTTATACATTTTCATCGATTTGGCAGAATGGATTTAATATGTGGCGGAGTAATTAATGGGCAAAAAACTTACAACAGAATCGATTTTTTTATTCACACGAACACTCACGTACACACACACATGGAGAAGTCGCGCGTAGTGTGCGTAAAAAACAAGTGGGAAAAACGCCGACAAAAACTCTTGAAAAACAATGGGCGATTTCAAAACAGTCACTTTTTTAAAACACAGCAAAACGAAACAATCATGTTCCACAATTAATATTATCCCGGAATATAGAAAAACAACGAATTTTTTGGGTAATTTCGAGCAGCCAAAGAGATTTTGGTGTTGTTCTTTCGTGTTGTTCGCGAACGAACTGATTCCGAAAACCCAAACCAGGGATGCGGTGGACAAGAAACAGCTGTGGAATCGACAACCAGGGCTGCACAGGCACTTTTAAATTTGTTTAAACTTTTAGGAATCTTAATAATTTTATTTTTATATTTTCGCCATGCAAAATTACTTACACTTTATTATATTTTTAAATGTGTAAGTTCAGTTGCTATTGTCAGGTGCTTTGCCTTGCTCTTATATTTTCTTTTATTACTTATTTTAATTAATATTTAATGTTTTGTTTGGTGTTCAAGCTTAAAGCATTCCGTTTTAAAGCACACAATTTTACGCCTTAAGCACAGTTTGGTTAATTTGAAATTCATCGGGCGTTTATGGCCATTTAATGCACTTTGTTTTTATTGGGGGATAAATCGATTTTTTTGATTTTTCGGCTCCCACATCGGAGTAAAGTACCATTCAAACTTTTCTTGCACTTTGTTTATTGCCGTTTTGGCCATGTTTTAAGTTCAAGGAATATCCTATGGGTTTTCATACATCTTAATGTTCCAATTCACTTAATTGTAGTAGAAATATTTAAACAAATTTTAATGAAGAGCAGGACACGAGGAAGGCGCACGCTGTCAACTGAACTAAATTCCTTTATACCAGGATAGAATTTAAATGGGGGTGACTTGACTTCGCCTAAGATTCCGACTCCGAACCCCAGAGCACATGCGCAAATCGCCGGATCCATTTAAATCCCATTTTCCCGCTCAGTCAATGCAGTGCTTTAATAGAAAACATCTTTACTATACATCTTTTTAAGAAATAAATTTTTAAAACTTTTCCTTATATTTTTTGCAGAATATTAATATTTTTTTTTCTCATAAGCTCTCATTTTAATTATATTATCAGATCATGAAATGTTCTTTCATTTTTTGTGCTCTATTTGTTTCTAAACAATCAACTTAACAATATCACGTTTTTAAGTAATATATTAAAATTTTGTAACAAAAAAATTGTTGTATAAAACAAAGCAAAGCAAAGGAGTTAAGTTGTTAAAACTGCGTTGCCATCACCGATAGTCTATCATGATGTGGTTATAAATATTGTCTATCGTGGGTATGGCCGCTGCTGGAGGAGCTGGTGGGTTAATGTTTTCACCTCCGGGGTCAGGCGCTGGATCAGACTGAGCATTTTGAGGGGAAACTGGATTCGTAGCAGGAGTGAGACCGGTAGTATCCTTATTGGATGGCTTGGGCTTTTTCCCGAAAGCAAAACAACCGCTCTGTTTGGTGGCCACCGGCGACAAGTTGTCTTTGTTCTTGGTGCTGCAGAAGGAAATGATAAAGCTTTAGGATTTTTATTAAACAAAAGTAATTAAGAAAACTCACAATGCCTTGAGAGCTTCCAGCTTTGGTATATTTCGATTGTGGGGCTTGCCACCACCGGCTGCCTCCTGGGCAGCCAGTTCCTCGGGATGCGACTTCTTCTTGTGCGTACGGCAGTTTGAGCCATTGGCGAAGGTGCGATCACAAAAGTCGCAGGAGTACGGCTTTAGTCCAGTGTGGAGGATGAGATGATTCTTAAGGGCCTTGGCCCGCTTAAACTCTCTGCCGCAGTAGTCGCATTTATGTTGCATTTGATCCGTGTGCACCAGCCGATGTCGATTAAGAGTTGTCCTCGAATTTAGCTGCATGCCGCACTCCGGGCAGATGTACTTGTGTGGATCGTGCGTCTCCTTGTGGTGTTTAAGTCGATTTGCCGACTTAAAGCATTTTTTGCACACCTCGCACTCAAACGGGGCATAGTCCGTGTGCTTTAGGACGTGCTCCTTTAGGGCACTCATCGAGTGTACACCAACGCCGCACTGCTCGCAGATCACCGGCCGTGGTCGCTCATCTAGGTGCATGTACTGTTCGTGTTGCTGGGCGGATGCACTGGTAGCGAACTTCTTGTCGCAACTATTACAGGAATATTGTTTTCTCTTGGGCAAGGGTACATGACATTTAATGTGGCGCTCCATGTTGTAACGGAGGCTGAACTTTTTTGGGCAATCCGGACATTGCAGTTGGTCTGAGCAGGGTTCAATCTGTCCATGATCTTGCCGAAGGTGACGTTGCAATGTCCTAGCCGTGGCATAAGTTCGCAAGCATTCGCTGCACTGGTGCTTTTTGTCGGAGTCACATAATCCCTTTTCAGTTTTTTCTTGTCTTGGCGAGGAATCACTCAAACTGCCACTGGAATTTTCCTCTTGGATGCCATACGCGTCACAAAGCTTTAACAGGACAGCATCCTCATCCGCTTCATAGTCCGGATCCTGATCAACTGGTTCCTCCTGCATAGGCATCTCCTCAGACTGTTCGTTCTCCTCGTTCTCCTGCTCATTTTCTTGCTTCCCTTCTGGAGTCAGAGGGTTTTCCTGCTCAAAAGCCGACTCTTCTGGCAAAAAAGCAAGCTGTTCGTCTAATTTTGGCTTCTTATCCACATAGTGCACCTCTGTAAACGTTTCCTCGTCAATCAGTCCGAATTTGACCCGCAGCTCCTGAAGATTTAGGGTCTCCTGGCTGGACGTACTCTGTAAGATGCAATAGAGTTTTTGCACCCTGGTAATCCGATCCGAGAAATTCACTAGCGAGGTAACCAACGAAAGGCAGTCATTGCAAATCATCTCCGGCAGTTCCTCGCCCCGAGTTATCTGGTAAAGGAAACATATATGATATACTAAAACGGTGTTTCCAAACATATCCTAGGCCACTCACATTCACCCAGAAGTACTTTCCAATAGCAGTGGCCAATTCCAAAGAGGTTGCTTCTCCTGAATCTTCGTTCTTAAGAAACACATTCATGTTTCCCCGCAAGTCGTCTTTGGCGCAAAGGCGACACCACAGCCGCCAGTCGCTGTAAGGATTTCGATCAGGATGCAGATCAGCAGGAGGAGCACGCTCCTCCAACTGAGCGGCGGCCATCGCACAGCTCAGCAATTAGTTATAAATAAACGTCCATGCAGCGTAAACATATTGGACCCAAATTGGAACTGGAACTAAATGGATTGGTTTTACGGAACCAGAACCACAATTTGCTGGGCTACCTGATTGACGATAGAAAACATTAAAAAATATATCCCTATTACGTAAAATATAATTTTTTCAGCAGGGATTTTGAGTTCTCTTGAAAGAAAAATTACTTTTTAAAATAATATTAATTTCGTTGATAAAGGCTTGCACAATGAAATCTAAATAAGTTTTAGAAATACCCCCAATATTGGTTGAAGGATTTTATTATACAATCTGGTAGCCCAAACAGCTGATTATAACTTCATATTGTTTATTTCCAATTGTGAAATTAACGGGACTACGATTGTTACTTTTTAAAAAATGTTAGAGGCGCGATTAAGTAAAACCTTGCTGCTTAAGAAGATCATTGAGGCCCTGAAGGAGATAATCGACCAAGGAACGCTGGACTGCAGCGATTCAGGCTTGCAGGTGAAATAGGACTTGATATTTGGGAACCCCAAAATATAATACAAAAGTCGACCAAAATAAGGAAGCTACCTTTTAGAATGCTATTGATATTCTCAGATTATTTTTAATTTTTTCCACGCATATTTTTTATTTTAGCTCCAATCGATGGACAATTCGCATGTCTCACTAGTGGCGCTAAGTCTTCAATCTGATTGCTTTGAGAAATTCCGATGTGACCGCAATGTCTCCCTGGGATTGGATCTGAAGTCCCTGGCCAAGGTGCTAAAATGCGCCAACAGTGACGATATGGTCACAATAAAGGCCATTGACAAGCCGGACAAGATTCAACTGAGCTTCGAATCTGATGGAAATGAAAGAACAGCAGACTACGAACTCAAGCTGCTGAATCTAGACCAGGATCACTTAGGGATTCCAGAAACAGACTATGCCTGCGTCATACAGTTGCCTTCGATGGAATTTGCCCGTATATGTCGGGACATGAGTATGTTTAGTGAAGCTCTGACAATCGCTTGTTCCAAACAGGGAATCAAGTTTTCCGCCAATGGAGATTTGGGTTCCGCCAATATTCAATTGACTGAGGGCAGCAAAATGGACGTTAATATTGAGGTGAAAGAACCCTTAACCCAGACCTTCGCCGGTCGTTACCTGAACACCTTTACCAAAGCCACTCCACTGACGGATCGTGTAAAGATTTGCTTGGCCCCCGAGGTTCCGCTCCTTGTGGAATACCCCATAGAAGACTTCGGATATATTAGATACTATCTCGCACCCAGGGTTGATGATCCCGACTCGTAACAAATTTACATATATATTAAATGTTGTCACCTATTTTTAATCGATTTTTTATAAATAACAAAAGAAAAATGGATATTCGTATGGAATTAACCTTATTAAAGATCTCCCCATATGTACATGAAACTTAAGAATTTAAAATTCTTAATTCTTAAATTCTAAAATTATTTTAATATTAAGTTTATTTAATAAACTTTTTCCAACCATCGATTATCAACTAAGAAGTAAAAAACAAGAGTAATGAAGAAAATATTTTAATTAATTTTGGTAATTATTTTTGAAATTTCTTTTTCCTAAATATTAAAAATTTTAACGCGACCAGAGTTGCCACACGGCCATTATTATTACCTCTCGGGATGGCTACCCTAAAACTGTGTAGTTCCTCAAAAGAGTTGACAACCCTGCCCGGGCGCAAATGCGGAGCTAAACAAAACCGAAAACCTGAAAAATAAACTGAAAAACCCAGGGTATTACGAGTGCACCATGGACACGGAAGAAGTGAAGCGCGGCCGAGGACGTGGACGTGGAACAAGGGCGCGTGGTCGTGGGCGGGGGCGAGGACGCGGTCGTGGCAAGAAAACTGACGACACCAGTATCGCCGATGCCGCCGCAGCCCTGGCTGCAAGCAATTGTGCAGCCCTGGAGGACAGTCCGGGAAGACTGGAGCCCTCCGAAGATTCTGTTATGCAGGATCTCGACAAGGAGGGCGAAATGGAAGCTGTAAATGCCCTGGAAGAGCCTCAGGGAGCACAAGGTTCAATCGCCACAAACGCAGACACGACTCTAGCCACGCCGCAACCACAGGTTCTGCAGCAGGTGCCACCTCCTGTGCTCAGTCAAACAAGTAAGATTCTTCAATAATTCTTTAATACATTTATGGACCAAAGATTATCTGTGCCTTAACCATTTTCTCATATTTGAAGTTGTGCGAATATTTAAGCAATATCTCCCTTTGCAGTTGACATGGAAGCGGACATTTCTCAGCTTGAGGCACCCACATTCACTACACTTTCTCGTGGACCTCCAGAACCGATGCTGCGCCTGAAATGGAACCACAAGGTGAGCCTGATCGGCGAGAAGGTACTCAACCCGATGATCCACTGCTGCGACCAGTGCGACAAGCCGATCCTCGTCTACGGCAGGATGATACCCTGCAAACATGTTTTCTGCCTTAAGTGCGCACGCGCTGAGCCCATAAAAAGTTGTCCTCGGTGTACGGACAAAGTTCTTCGTGTAGAGCAAAGTGGACTGGGCACCGTGTTCATGTGCACTCACGGCGGAAGCCGGTACGGGAGCTCCGGCTGTCGGCGAACCTACCTCTCGCAACGCGACCTGCAAGCGCACATCAACCACAGACATGTGGCGCCGCAACCGCCACCATTGCAGCCACTGCCACAGCTGGCGTCCATGGCAGAGCAGCCCAAAATGACGGATCTGGGCGGCGTCGGTCTGGGCATGGAGTTGCACAAGCAGCGCAAGGCGAGTGGTAGCTATGGCTCCTAAACTAAGCTGTCCTGTCTATAAAAAACCGCTTGCCCCTTGCAGCTCTCCGAGTCGTCTGTCCCTGTATCCCATTCTGCCTCCATTACCCGCCCTCTGTCACGGCCACTGACTGGTGTCGGAGGCATCGGTAGCATACCACCGCCAGGATGCGCCGCCGCCCAAAACGCCATTCATGGCGGCCACTCGACGCTCACGCTGGCCAATTTGGCCAGGATTAACAATGCTAATGCACAGGACTGTCACCAGGGCAAGGCTTCGCTACACCACAGCCTCAAGAAGGGTCCGCCCCATCAGTCCGAGTCTGTGGCGGATGCCTCTTACTACAGCAGCGTGCTTGCCTCGTTTGGTAGTGCGGGGTCGGGGCCACCGGGTGTGGGAGCTACCGGACCCCCGGCTAACTCAATTCCCGGCTGCTCAAGTGTCCAGATGGGTGGCTCTGTAGAAACGTCAGCTATTAATCCAAGTGGCAACTGGCAGCAATCGCAATATTACAGATAAGGGGCGGACCAAGGGGCCAAAAGACTCAAAATCCACAGGGGCAGCAGATTTTTACGCAGGCACGGCTTTTAATTAAGTGAATTAAATGTATTTTAAGAGAAAATTATTAAAAGGAATTTACGGATTTAAACGAACCCGAAAGTTGAAGTATATAGTATTTTAATAACTGGTAGCTAAATTGAATTTTAAATAACATTAAACTAAGATGTTATTGGTTTTTGTAATATTCTCAATAAGTTTATTAAATATACTTTAAATGGGTCTTTCCAGAATTGCATAAATTTTTAATTTAATAACCCACTTATTCGGAGCTTAATTTGAGAATCTAAAGCCACATTTAAAAAGCCCGCTCGATTAACCAACAATCGAATATTTGTGATAACGATAAACTCTCCAGCTGGCTGCTCCACCAGCGGAATACAAAAGGTAAACAAATAAGACTCCAAACTGAACACAATAGTTGAACGGAAGATTAACATAAAAACAACAGGCCTGGATCACCAAAGTCAAGTCGTAGGCCAAAGAAAATACTGGATATCTGATGAGCTCTACGAAGAACTCAGAGAATCGAGGCCAGAAGCAGAAGGCAGCGGCAATAGCGAGCTACCAAAAGTGAAAGTTTGCAAGTTGAATGAAAATGATGAAAATTGTACTGATCAGTGGCAAGCGAAAGTGCGGCAAGGATTACGTATCCGAAAGGTTAAAGCAGAGGTACATTAATTGGTTCAAAGTGGTTCCATTTATGTATATAAAGTTTTTCAATGCTAAAAACTTAGACCTATTATTGAAGTGCTAATTGCAATACAGCTGTGTTCATAAAAATAGTTTTAAAGAATATTTAGTTTTTACAATTTTATCAAGCCAAGAAAACTGGAAAATACATTTAAAATTTTTAGAAAATCTCAAGTCCACAAAACCCTTATTTTCCAGATTAGGTTCCCGATCGCGGATCGTTCGAATCTCAGAGCCCATTAAGTCGGAGTGGGCCCGTAAACTGCAGCTGGACCTGACTGCCCTGCTCAGCGATGGTCCCTATAAGGAGAAGTATCGCCGCGACATGATCGTGTGGAGTGATGAGGTAAGGGCACAGGATTACGGCTACTTCTGCCGCGTTGCCATGGAGGAAGCTTTGGCTCACCATCAGACGCCCTACATCCTGGTCAGCGACGTGAGGCGCAAAAACGACATTAAATGGTTTCGAGAAACTTACGGCTCGGAAAGAGTCGTTACCCTGCGACTTACATCTCGTCCGGAAACACGATGTGCACGAGGTTGGACTTTCACCACTGGCATCGATGACGTTCCATCGGAGTGTGATTTGGATGATATGCCAGATGGCTTTGATTTTGTGCTGGCCAATGATGAGGAACTGGACCAGGAGGCCATTGACACTCTGCTAGACAAGCTTCAACTACAGTATCAGTAAAGCTTTACCTTATTACTCCAATCAAGGCTTTTGAACAAATGTATTTTTGATATATGTATGTATCATGTATTCATGGTCCCTTTGAAACCGAAAGAGGATCCTCACAAAAAATATTTCACAATACAATTATTGAAATTAAGTTTGTACTCAATATATTTCCTTTAAAATACTCTTAGTACTAAAAGGAGCTTATGTGACGGTTTTATTAAAATGTTAAGTTTAAATCTTGTATTTTTCCATGGTTATACAATTTTTTAAATATGTAGATAGGATACCTCAAGAAACGACGATCAAATCGAGTTTCTCGCCTTTGAAGGGTAGAAATCTATTCCCATGAAAAATTAAAGCACTAACATCGAACTAGTTTTCTTGTTATTTTTAAGAATCATTTCCTATACATAACGAAAGAACCTTTATTAACCCAAATATTTTTACCCGAAATATTTAAAAGCAAACTAATAAAATGTTTTATTAAAATATGTATGAAGTGAGTATGTGAACATGAATAATGATTTGGTGGGTTGAAGGTGGGCATAAGGCAAGTGTAACTACTAAACAGTGTTAGTAAATGGGTCCATTTAGACCTTCGCCGCCGGAGATAAGCCGAATCTGATCATTGAATTTTTGCCCTTGTGGATTCGGCGTTTTCCGTAGATCTTTTTCCACGGATCGTGAACGCAGATGGGGTTTATTCTTAACACAACTAAGTGGAGTACGCTTTTGAGCGGACACAGGTGTGCTATTTGTTTTAGGTGTGATGACTCCACTGGCCGCTGATGACTCCTCCTCCTGGTCAACATAAATCTTTGGTTTGTTGGCCCTTGCTGGCTTTCGGGGCGGAACCCTTCTCTTGTGACCCAATCGCACGCGCTCCAGATGTTTGTTAGCTGGTACGGTTGATTGCTGTTCCTCAGTAGCTACAAAGGAAGCCATGCTACTCCCGGTGCTAAGATTCAAAGTGAGTGTCTCCAAAATGTGTTCCAGCATTTGGGCTTCGCGTGCCTCTTCCTCCTCGTCATCGCAAAAGATAATGGGTGTGCGGTCGACCCCCAAGCTGGGCGAACGAGGATCACAGTGAAGCTGCTGTGAAGGAGGTGGAGTCGCCATTTTCGCCTGATCCATCTCCTGATGCTGCAACAGCGGATTGTCACACGGCAAAGTCTCCTCCTCATCATAGGGCAGAGAAACTATCTCCAGTGAACTATTGTTGTGAGCAAAAGACGGTGGTGTACCGAAACTATCGCAGCTCTGCTCCAAGTCTACTTGAGGAGGAGTGGTAGGCACTGCTCTTTGGGCCGTACCCACCCTGGTGTCTACAAAGAGGTCGGCAAAGGTGTCGTCCAGATTAAGAGAACGTACTTCGTCGAGTACCAAGGGAGTGCGATTCAGTTGAGGAGAGCGAGGGTCATTTAGGGTGAAGCCTTTGAGAAGACGCCTTCGCAGTACTGCAAAGGCGTTATCAGGATTGGCCACCTGCTGCTGCTCCTCCTCCAGAATTCGAGGCCTTTGCATTTGCGATCCTGTCTGCAAAAACTACATCCCACCATCATTAAAAACCCCTTAAATAAATGAAAACCTAGAGAACTTACATTTAAAGGGGTTCGACAGCCATTTGGTGATCGAGGATCGAGCAAAGCGTTGTTTTGCTCTCTAGTCGGCGTCGTCATTTCAACTTTTTCCTGCATTTCGATTGCCTGCCGCATTTTGTTTAGTGTTGGCGTATCTGGTAGATATTCACCCTCAATTTTCGTTGCCTTTGCTCCCATTATATCTTTTTTATCTGCCTTGTTTCACAACTTTTCACTCAATGAAATATGAAATAAAAATCGTTGCCGCGCATTTGTTTTGAAATGGCGTCGCTTGGAGTTGCCAGATCACTAAATGTGTACTGGAAATGTGGACTGGAAATATTGATTGGAAAACATTAGGGTAGCGACAAAAAGTCTCCTCAAGAGTTTCACAAAATGAATTCGTTACTAGTTCCTACCTACTGTTGTCTCTAAAATAGTAAAATCAAATTATTCGATTTTATTCTTTTCATCACGTTTTTTTGTAATAAAATTATACGCTTAAATATATGTTGGCCTTTTAATTAATAAAATTAAACATTATTCAACATTTAAAATATACTAATTTGTAGATTCGCCACTTAACAACACTGGTGCTTAGCAATTCCCGATAGTCCCATCCCCAGCTCTTTCAGAATATACTGGTTACACTGTTTCATTTAAGACGCGACAGAACGATTTATAGTTTTTATATTTTTCAAACGAAAATGGCATGAAAACCGGCCTAAAAACGTCCGACAAACGAAGCTAAACACCCAAAGTAAGTTCCCAAGTCAAAAAACTTTAATAAATCTTTAAGTTATATCATATAAACTTGGCTAATATATATTTGCGCGAGTGTGTGTGTTAAAAACCAGTGAGTATGTACTTGTGGTGAATAAAAGGGGAAATTAAGACAGGAAACCAAACTTTTTCACTCCAGAAAACTATTTTTATTTAATTTACGCAGTAGCTGTACTAAATATGTTTGTGTAAATGTGTGTGGCCGCCGCAAGCAGCAGTAAATTCTCCTGTGTGTGTATATATGTGTTTTTTTTTTTTTACTATGGCTGTCTCCTTTTCACACACACTAGCAAACAATACAGTTGCGCCTTGTCTTTTTTGCCGACATTTTTTTTTGTTAATGCAAGGCTTTATTACAAATAAAAGCTATTTACCTATTTGTCGAACCATTAATGTAGGGTACTACGCTAAAATGCTTTATAAAATTGCTTTATTGTTTTAGTTGGCAATTGTAGCGCAAAAGTAAACAAATTGTATACACACAAATGCCAGAGCGCATGTCGTGCAGACTTTCTCTCTTGCTCCAAATTGCAAGTGTGTGCGTGTGTGAGTACACGCTGAAAACAACCGAATTTCATTCATTGCTCATTTCCGAGAAAAAAACTACACACGCTATATTCGTCGCCATCTGCAATTTCACCTATGTGTGCGTAATAAATATATGTGTGTATATACATCGGACTCATTGCAATTGTGCAACATGTTAATAGTTTCCAAAAGGCAACTGGGCGTGGCAGGTGCAAAAGCCTCTATCTCCCCATTCCATTTCTATTTACAGAAACTTCTTCCCACTTCCAGCCGCATTCCAGAGTTCAACATTCTTGCTCTTCCCGTCGTTTGATTGCCGTCATTGGCCGCGTTTTTCACACATTCCACGAGCAGTCTTAACACACTCACACCGATACACTTGTCTATGGGCTTTCGCACACTATTGATTTCAATCAACTTTGTAAGCGCGCTAGGGTCTCTATCGCTCTTTCGGAGGTCTGCTATGCTCTCTCCTTCTCTTTCGTTCTCATTTGTCAATTAAGCACCGCGTCCGTTTGTCGGCTCTTCACCAATTCACACAGACACAACTGGGGCTGCCACTTCATCCGTGTGGGTAAATTCCATTTCCTGTTTATAATGTTGCGCCACACCCCCTCCATCCGCCGCTTCCTTCCAGGCTCGCGCATGGTGTCTTGTCTTTTCCGTCTACGGCACAGCGGAGACCCAAACCAACCGGCTCTCTTTCCACTGTTGTTCCGCTCCTCTCTAATACCGTGCACCATGGATCGATCGGTGAGGATTAATTTGCAAGAAACATAAACACATGCGAATTAATAAAATTTAATGAATAAAATAATTACTTAAAAAAAATGGTTCTTAGGATTTAGTAAAACAAATATTTTTTTGTCAAATACATTAAGATTAATTTATATAAATATGTTTCAAATAAATAGGAAAGGATATATTTATTTAAGTTTTTATAACCATCTTATTAATTTTTGTATGAATATGATTCAACATAATTAACTATATAAAGAAAAAATGAAATATGTGTCTTATTACAGTGAGCTTAACTAATAAAATAATTATTCGGGTACAACTTCGTATCTATTTGTTCACCCTCGTTAAACGGATTTCCGTCAACTTTCCCTCTTATCCGTATCTGCTGCCAGCCCACGATCAACGAATTTCGGTTTCGTTGCATTTCACTTTTCGCATCCGCAACCACTGTGCCGTCGGGCCTCTGACCGCTGCTTAGGAACGACGCGGAATTGGAACACGAATGCGACTCGCTCCTCCGCTCTCATTCCATTTCCAATTTCGAATTCCCAGCCTGATCCGGCTGTCACTGCTCTTGTTGTTGTTGTTGGTGGAGCGGCAGCGGTGAGTTGAGTAGTACAGTACGTGCCACTTCCTTTACATTCAGAAAAATAAAAATTGCTCACACACACACACGCATACATACACCTAAAGCATACATAAAGAGACGTTCCATCAGACAGACAAACATTAAATGTCTGAGGAGGGGAGAGGTTAGCTTGGCGTCTGCGCCGTGTTGTGTTGCTTTTATGCTTCCCGTAGCTCATACATACTTATTGTTCTTGTACAGTTGCAAAGACACTCACTCACATTAGTGCATACATGTGTGTATAATGGAGTCAAAACAGTGAAAACGAGTTTGATGTCTGGCTCGATATGGCAACACTGCAGTTGAGTGCATATCCCCCACCTCCAAGCGCCCGCTTATTAGAAGAGAAATACCGCAGAGCGTAGTTGTTGATTTTACGTAAGAAGGCCGTCGAACTCAGCATAGAAAATGGGAGAGAGAAAGAGAGCGCTAGAAGCAGTGAGAGGGAGAGCAAAAGAGAGAGTGTACATGCAAATGAAATGCGAATGTGTGTGTCTAATGATTACCGTTACTATTTGCATGTTGTCTAGTCAGACGTCTCGCGACCCAGACTGTGCGACCCACCAGGCAATTGGCAAAAATTCTCCATCATGACCTTTTATCGGCATCATTTTAGCCGGACATTCAAGACATACATATGACAGTAATGTTGTGAATTGATTTTTTAATACAACTGCGTTAGATTTCCAAATGAAAATAAAAATGTAGACATACAATAACAATGGCGGTAGAACTGTTAGCAATTTGCAAAAATGCACTGTCGTTTTAATTTTAAATATACTTTTGGTTCCTCTAACAACATTTAGGGTGGAATTTATTTATATATAATTGGATTTAAAAAGATATTTGTTGTATACAATAAAGTTTTCAAATAATTTTATTAGGGAAACCCTACATAATGCATTGCTAAGTCTTTGACCACAGCTGTACACTTGCCATTCAGTTGCGTGCAGTTCTGCATTTCTGTCGGCTGTGGTTCAATGTCCTAAACCGCACACAACAAGTGCAACAATTGTAACATCAACAAAAGCAACAGAACACAGCAAAAGGGGCAAGAAGGTGGTGGTGACGAAGAAGCGCAACTTGATGGAGGGATTGGGAATGCACAAGTGCAGAAGCGAAGCAACAAAGATGGCAAACGGAACGAGGGCAGGTCCTAGGGCAATCCATTAACGTTTTGCCGTCGCCCATCCCCTATCATATCGTCATCATATGGGTATTATTGTACAGTTGAACCTGTGACATTCGAGTCCCTCTGGGTTGTCGAGCTTATTCGATTGATTGGCCAAAACTCTCCTGAATCAACCAGCCATTCGGTGACTCTTGGTTTATTTTCCTTATTTTTTTTGTCGATGCATTCCGACATCCGTGAGCTGTTGTAACCCAGAAAACGTTGTGCCAGGTTGTTGCTGTTGTGTCGCTTGTGACGTCAATTGGCTTTGGAATGGTGTCGGCGGCCCACATTTCGGACTGACAACCCACCGGAAACGAGTAGTTGTGCTGCTTTTATAAAGTCAGTCGAACTTCCACAAGTCGAATCGACATATGCAACGAAAGAGTTCTGATAACCAATACTTTTTAGTTAAATTAAATGCAATATAAGCACTAAATTTAAGTTTTATGATTAAATAGAAAAGCTATAGAACTAGATTTAGGATAAGAATTTTAAATGATAATGTTGTCCTATAATTTCATTTTTAAACTTTAAGCACTTCATATTCAATTTGTAGTTCATTTCAAGTTGTCAAAATTGGTTGAACTCCTATTTTAAGGGGGCTTTGGGTTGTGTAAAATTAAAATCGCAATAAGTCTGGCAACGGCAGAAACGACCGTCAGCCAACTTTAGCGGGGCTTTATTTTTGGCGCGCTTCTTGAGCGGCAAGAAAGAAATTTCCCGAGGAATGGAATGTTGTTTACTTGCGCGCCTGCGCATCCTCAACCTTCAGCCAGTTCCATGAAATCTGCAGTTGGTTTGAACTCGTCTGGGTTTCATCCTGTTCGTCCCGTTTGTCCGGCTACCTGCCCTGCCCTTGCGCCCCCGACCGCCCTCTGTGTTCTCTCGGCGGTTTTTCGTACCACCGCTCTACGTCGCTTCTTGTTTGTGTGCTTTTCGCTCCGCCAAACTCGAACTCGGTGGCGTCGGTGGCTTCGTGTCAATAACATGTTGATCCTACATCGAAGTCTTCTGGCAACACCAAAACAAAAACAAAACAAAAAAGCACGTTTCTTTTGAATTATAAAGACTGAGAGATACCCGTTATTCAGGAAACTGTGTGCTACTTAATTTTAATATTCAGAAAATTGTGTGGTATTTATTTACATAACAAACCCTTTTTAATCATTAGAATAAGCAAGAAAATATTTCCAAAATTTATAAGGACTTAGCCCATTAAATGCTTAAAAAAAATACTTTTCTATCAGTACATAATATTTTCCATTTTAATATGAGTTAATGCAAATTGTTGGTTTCTAAGACATATAACAAATTAACTTAATATATCCTATTAACTTTCCAAGTAACGGGTGTAAAACTACATACAACATGAGCTCCAAAGCCGCTGGCCGCATTGTTATTATGCCGCATTTTTAGTGAAGAGCCGTCGCTCTCGGTTTCTCTCTCTCTCTCTATCTATCTCTGTGGAGAGAGTCTCTTATGCAGCTCTCGGGTAAAACACGTCCATCTTTAGAACTAAATTTGTTGTTGTTCGGCATTCGGTTTTCGAATCTTTTGCGGTGCGGTTGTGTTTTGCTGTGCGCGGTGATTTTTGTCGGCGTTTTGCAGTAATGTCCAAATCTAAATGTAAACAGTTGTTGATAATTTGTGAAAAGAAAGCGAAATCAATTGGTGTTTAAGTGAATAGTGTTTAATTATTATTGGTTGTTGTAAAAAAAATTTTTGACACCTACACGCGCTGTCTTTAATTTTCCCCTTCTACGTCTTTTTTGCTTTGACTGTGTTTGTATTGGTGTGGATTCTTTTAATTATTCTCCCATAACGACGCATAAAATATTTTCTTCCTATACTTTTGAAAATTTTTGTTTGGTTTTTGAATACATAGTCCGCGCCCCGTTTCGTTTGTCGCTTGTGCAAAATTCTTAGAATTCCTCGCAACATTCCCGCGCACACATACACCTCTAGACATACATATATAATTTATCCCCTTGAAAGGCACGGAGTAAGAGTGAGACAGAAAGCGAGGAAAAGAGAGAGTAGAGCTGAAGTTTTGCTCTCAGAGTGTGTGTGTGAATATGCACGTATACGCAACACACCTCAAAAGGTTGTTGTCTCTGCTAAATGTGCCTTCATCGCTCACACGCCTTATTGCTCTCTCTTTTTAATTCTCTCATGAAATAAAACTTGTAGGACTTGTTTCTTGAGCTTTTTGCAAACGCAAAAACATAAAAACCGGTACATTCTTTAAACTGCAAGCTGAAAAAAGAGAGCGTGCTGTGTGTTGTTCCTGTATTGGTTTTTTTTTGTTTTACTTTACCATATTTTTCACACACTCTGCTTTTCTTACAGTTTTCTAAACACACACACATACTCAAAACGAGAAGAGCCAACGAACTCGAGCGACGCCCAAGAATGAAAGAGAGCAAGGCAACATGAAAATTACAGCAACAACAACTGGCTTGCCCAAGAAGTTGTAAAAGACGCAGAAGAGAACAAGAAGAAGCAGCCACAACAGTATTTTTATTAGCTGGTGTTGTTGTTGTCATGTATGTATGCACACTTTTTGTCGTCCACACACTAACATAGTTCAATATTGTTGCTGTTGTAATTTTTATGGTGCTTGTATGTTGCTGTTGTTGTTATTGTGTTTGGCTCATTTCCCCATCATTTATATTCACTAAAAGATCATCGAACTTTCATTAATTGCTTTTGGCAAAAAAAAAGAAATATTTTATAAAGTGCCGCCACTGATCTTGACCTACACGCTCGTAAGTTCAGCGCATTTTATATGGCTATTCAACTTGATTTTTGCGCACATTACCTTAGTTCCACTTCCTCTCGCACACAAACAATCGCACATATCACATGTATGCTCATGTACATAAAAGCGGCGGCGTATTTAATTTTTATAACGGAAATTTTAATAAGCTGCCCGCCCGCTGCCAAGTGTGATCGAGAATGAGAAGGGGATACAATGCAGCAGTTGTTAACTGTAAAAGCATTCTAATACATAAATAATTACCCACACCCATCCAATAACTGTTTTTATTTTGCACTGTAATAAAGTGAGCTCGATTTTTGTTTCTTATACTTTAAAAATAATATCGAATGCTCTAGTATTTTCTAAGAAACTTAAGCTGTAGCTGTTTCAAGTGTAAACGTTTACATAAAACGTGCCGGTTTTTTTAAATGTTCATTTCAATTATACCATTATTTTGCATCTCAACGTTTAATGATGACATGTTGGCAAAATAAATAATTGTATTAAGAATCGAAATTTTATTTTAAATAAATTTGGTTTAAGCTGAGCATTAAAATTTCTGCTTCTGGAGGTTAAGATTTATTTTTCGTTGTTGATTCGATCATCCACTTCCGTTATGATTTTTCGTGTGCATTCCCTTATCAATTTAAATTCCAGAATTCGAACTCAGAAATAATAAAAACAAATTTGGCGTCAAATTGCAAAAGGCTGGCGCCAAAATGATGTTTACATTTGTATTATATTAATTTAGGGTGCATTGCTTTTTGCCCGTGTCGCCCTTTTCTGTGTTGTTCTTCGATGTTTTGTTTGTGTGTGTATATGCCTACTGAATTTTATTATTATTGAATTGATGGCCAGCCTATCGCGTAGAAATGTACGAAAATTGCTCCATTCACTCGCGCTCTGTCGCCATTCATGTCAATTCATATTTGTGTATTGTCGCCAGCGCCGCATCATCACTATCATCATCGTCATGATCATCATTACCATCCTGTTGTTGTTGTAGTCGTCGCATTTATTTTTGTATTTTTTCATATTTGTTTATTGTGCCGTGGCTGCAAAAAAAAAGTACAAGACTCCAAGCCCGTGGCCGTGAGAACGTTAAAAAAACCCATGAAGAAGACGAGTCTCAATCTGAATCTGAATCTCGGCACTCTCATCGAATCGAAGCAGGAGAATTGTGTCATTCTTCAAAGTGGTTGTGAAATGTTTGCCTTTTTATGCCTATTCATATCACAGCCAGCTTTGAGGAGCGACGCGATGCTCAAGGCAAAAAATATCACAAATTTAAAAATTACAAAAAAATTATTGAAAATAAGTCAAAATACTCAATTGAATAATAAGTGAAATTGAATCTATAAAACGGTTACAAGTGTTTAAATTTTGTTTACATCATTACATGCGCATAAAAATCGAAATTAAGAAATTCTGAAAATCCCGCAGTCAAATATCCCGAAACCTCAATCAACAAAACTATATTGGCGCATTCATGCTGGGCTCACAAAGTGGTTGTGAAATGCATTTTTCCGCCTTGCGAGGCATATCACAGCCAGCTTTGATGAGCTTAGCGTAATGTATCGTACATCCAATCATGATAATACTTCCCCCGCCACATTATTCACACGTTCAGCAAACACAAACGTCATAAAACATGTGTTGTCCCGCTCAGAATCTATTTTTATGGTGAAATGTAAAATTCGAGAAAAAAAAAATTAATTGGGCAGCAAATAGATTTCAAAATTGGAAGGACGGAGGAGCAATGCATGCCACAACACCGAAAAATGGCTTGTAACTGGATTTTCATCTCTGATTTTGGGCTCTATCGAATTGATTACTTTTACATATCTGGTGCAATATTCTTACTAACTCCATTCATAAATATTTACAAAAGGCGACTTCATTCGCACGATGTTGATTATCTAAGCCTCATCAAGTGGTTGTGATATGGATACCCAACGCATATCACAGCCAGCTTTGATGAGCTAGGATAATCAACGGGAAACAACGTAAATGGAATTTGAAAATAAAAAGTGAATTGGTTGTGTCTAAACAAAAAAAAAACTTATATCAACGATTTTCGAAAAACTTTGTAAAATTTGCTGATTGTAACATAATGGTTCATTAACACACACAAAATTTTACTTATATTCTTTTATAAATATATTTATGTTTTCTATGCAGTTTGATTTTTTCCCCTTTTGTTGAGTACACAGTTCTAGAGTTAAATACCCTCGATGGTACCAAGAAATTACTTGCCACTAATGCTTTTTATCTTTCTCACAGATACACACATCTCCTCTAACTCAACGTTTACGTTCCACCAGCAGCATATATCTATGTAGAGAAAACCGATTCCAAAGAGCACTGACGACGCCTCGGCCGCGGATAACGAATATTCTTATTTATTATTGTGATAGTTACTAGTTTTAGTATTTTAAGCTTTTAAACAACCAAACGTTGCACGCCAAAAACAAGAGCAGATATCCAAAACTACAGTTACAAATTGTAATGCATTCCAAAATGAGTGGACAACAAGGGTTGGCGGCTGCCGCCCTGCTATTGATCGGCTGTCTGGCATATCCGACGTACATCGAGGGCTGCTCCAGCCGTACGGTGCCCAAGCCTCGTTCTTCCATCTCCTCATCTATGTCCGGCACAGCTTTGCCACCGACCCAGGCTCCAGTCACAACTAGCACCACAATGCGCCCCACGACAACGACCACGCCCAGGCCAAATATTACATTCCCCACATACAAATGTCCAGAGACCTTCGATGCCTGGTACTGCCTGAATGATGCCCATTGCTTTGCGGTCAAGATTGCAGATCTGCCAGTTTACAGCTGCGAGTGCGCCATTGGTTTTATGGGGCAGCGGTGCGAATATAAGGAGATCGACAATACCTATCTGCCAAAGAGGCCGCGCCCAATGTTGGAGAAGGCTAGCATTGCAAGTGGAGCCATGTGTGCCCTTGTGTTTATGCTGTTTGTCTGTCTGGCATTCTATTTGCGCTTCGAGCAGCGTGCAGCCAAGAAGGCCTACGAGTTAGAGCAGGAACTGCAGCAGGAATACGATGATGATGACGGGCAGTGCGAGTGCTGCAGGGATCATTGTTGTCCGGTCAGTGATGAGCCGGTCATTCTGGAGCGAAAGCTACCCTACCACATGCGGCTGGAGCACGCACTGATGTCGTTCGCCATTCGACGCAGCAACAAGCTGTGAGGAGAGCGAAATGGATGAAGCCGAATTTCGAATATGCCTTGCCCAACACAAAAATGATTATTGGGCTTTAGTCGATAGTTGATAATACCTATTTACTGAATGCTAAATTTATACTCAAGAACGAACTGTCCACTCAAACTTCACTTTCTTTTACCGAAAGTGTGCACCCAGAAAAATGGTTAAACACAGGCAGCCTTGTATTACCCAAATGACTATGAATTTTAACACCTTATGCTAGCTATTTATTATTATTGCTAACTGATATGCGTATCAAACAAACACAACGCGAAACACGCGCCAAGTATTATTTATTGCGAGAGAGATTTAAGAAAAAAATGAATTTTTCTAAATAAACATAAGAAACTGCACCATGCAAATTCACGAGTTATTTATTTAAAATACCGGAAACTAAGCTTTTCTTTTCGGCGGGTTTCAATAGTTTAAATTTATTTAGGACAACTTACTATCAATTATGCGGCCTCCATGTGTCAGGGCTTGATCAGATAAAAAACCTTGCCTGGTTTCCGATTTAAAAAAAGGTGGAAATTGTATACAAAATCAAATTACCATGTGAGGCAATTTATCAATATACTAAAAGGTTAAATTAATTTTGGGCATGTGCTAGGACCCACAATTAACTAATCTGATTGTAATCGATTGCAGCCCTAAAAAAATCTAATGATGGAGTGAGTCAATAGTCGACTTTAAACTATATCGGCCTTTATCAACTGTCAATCAAATGAGTTTTCGTTTTTGTTTTTATATGGGGGATTTCCACCAGGTTACGGCACGTGTGTTTGAATGTTTGACCGCTAGTTAGTAAACCGGGTTTTTCACAGTCACTAATGATGCATTGTTAAAGTATTTACTCATGTTTATGGGAACTATAAATTAAATATACCGTAATTCAATAAACGATAAGATTAGCTAATTTTTAAAAATTGTTAGATAGGTCAGATGAAGAAAACTTAAAGCATTCTATTATTAAACAGAATTTAAATTTATTTATCTATTTATGTACATTCGAAAGCTAAGTTTGTTTCTCTTGACTAAAACTGCTGAGATATACTTTTAAATTTCTGATAGAGTGCCTTCATTGGCCCGTAGCTCGAAAAAACCAACGATATGAGGGTGAGACACTTCATCAGGATTTGAAAGTCTGTCTCACTGCGGCTCTTAAAGTAACCCGTCTGATAGCCATAATACTGGGTCACCAGCGCGATCACAAAGCAGGCATATCCCAGAAAATTGTGGAATGTCTTGTTTAGCAACGGCGAGATCACTTTCTTTATGCGAGGGGAGTATAGTGCAGCCACGCCGGATGACATGGAAAGAATGCATAGTACAAAAGCAGTCATTCCTGAAATAAATAACAAATAGATTAATCGGGGGTTTAGTTACGTCATTTTAATAGTCATATTAGCAAGGTAATGGTTTTAATTAACCACCCCAGTTCTCTGATCTACAATATTCTGCAAATATAATGTTTTCCAAGCTTTCTTTTTCTTTAGGTAAGATTTTCTTAATTTCTTTAAAACTTTTGAATCTACCTCCTGATTTAAACTTAATCATCCATTAGCCTGCGGTCTCTAGTATGCCTTGTCTATCAATTGCAACTTACCCAGCCTCCCATGAGTTGATTGCAGCAAAAACCCCTTTTGTATCATTTTGATAAGAGCACCAGCTGCCCCACAACCGCCTCCTAATGTCAGTAGGACCCAGTGTATTGTGGTCTTTGTTTGACGTTTATATCCGTTTGTCAAAACATTTCCACCGTAATGGATCATAACTCCCTCGGCCATAAAGAAGGAGAACTGCAGAAATAGTATGATCTTTAGTACACGTTTAGTAGGTGGTAATCGCAATATTTTTTACGCCAATTGTCACCAGCCAAGCATGTAGACCGGTTCCAGCTAATCCAGTTCGCAGGGTCAAGTAGGAAATGTAGATGGTGATAAAGCCAATGCACATCTGATTTAGAACGTTTAGAAAGTATTCTAATCTCTGGAGACGATTTTGAGACTCATGACCGGAAAGCGAATTGTGGCCCATTTTCGAATAGCGACGCGGGGACTCGAGCGGAATGAATTTGGGACGGCGCTGCGATTCCGTTCGGATTGTACTGCCGTAGTCGACGACGGTCTGGGTTCTACTAACCATAGGCAGCTGATTCTCGGACATTGTAGTTTCAATTTTCAATTTTTTTTGTTTGCCCTTTAGCTATTATCAGCGCGCAGAAATAATGTTATTTTCGTGTTAACATTTATACAATTGTCGACTGATAATATGGCCTGCCACTTTTCACTGACAAATTACGGTAAAGTTTTTTATTATTGGGCCAAACCAGACGTGTGCTCTAACTACTAAAGCAATTAAATGTTTAATGCTCGACCGATACGCCCATTGATCTTTGTTAGTCAAACCATTCGCTCGAATCTTTATGAGCAACTGTCGAACCCTTTCTTGCAGCGTCATTTACCCAACCGATCTGGACTTGACCACAATATGATTAAACTTTTTATTCCTATTCATATCGGTTTACGCTCCGGGAAGCTATCAAAGTGCAGACAAAACCGCAAATAGACCTTCAGTCGTGTGCCTCCTTTTTTTTTTTTTAATTTTTGAATTTACGATAGCGCGCAATCGTTGGTGGCGATAGGTAAATTATTAATTTGCACTTATCAACACTAAGGGAATTTAATTTCTTAATGCACCAGTGATGACAGAATAGCTATTTTAAAACAAATGTATCTGAATTGGATACAAGAAATGCTCTTTAATATGATCTTTAATCTTTTGGTTTTATTACAACAAAGCTTATTCAGCTTAATACAACATTCATTATTGTCATTTACCTAGCGCATAAATTAATTGAATAAAATTTATTTTAACTTTTGAATATAAAATCCATTCATATTTTGGAATCAATTCAAAAAGTTAAAAGAATTTCATGGTCCAAATGCAAATTTAAATCATTAGGTAAATGAGTTAATTTAAAAAAGACAAGGGCTTGAACTCGGGATAGTTTGTAAGAAAAGTAAGAAAGTAAATACTTTATTAATTTATTTAAACGAACGAAGGTCCTGTTCAAATATTATATCTTGGGTTTTCATTTCCATTTCCATTGCTTCCATTATTTCTTAATATTTTTCCAAAAAGCAAAAGAAACCAAGAAGAATGCTATAAAGTTGCACTGCAGTTGTACTGTTACTAAAAGCTTTGCATACTTAAAAGGCTGTTTTAAGGGCTTCTAAGTAGTTATCTTACCATATTGATTTTTATGTTTTACTCTTAATAGCCCTTGAGAAACCTGTTAGAATATAAGCCAATTTAGATAAAGAAAAACTAAATGTTACACATATTTAGTAAGGTTTGTAATAGTTTTATTGTTGTATTTTATTTTTAAATATAAATAAAATAAAGCTTTTGGAATGAGAAACAAATGAAACACACGAAAATGTAATTTCTTCAAATTTATTTATCGTCATTTCTTAAAAAATACATAATTATACATTTAAAATAAGTTTACAGTCGTTTTATTTCTTTCTCTCTTAGCTTAAGTTGTAAAACACACTCTTGGTATGAAATTGTAAATTATTAAGAGTACCTTAAACCATAAATAAATTAGTCGTTAAGCGTTAAATAATATAAAATTTTGTACAGGATTAAGGAACTACCGTCCACAGTATCTAACTAGCCAAGCTACCAAATTTCTGGTAGAGAGACTTCATGGCTCCAATGCTGGTTAAAACCATTAAGACCATAGTCACGACCTGCATAAGGATAACAAAGTCCTCTCCTTGACCACTGAAAATCCCAGTTTGTGTGTATCCATAAAACTGAGCCATCATGGCGATTACGAATGCGGCGAAGCTGAGAACCACATGGAACGTCTTGTTGATCAGCGGTGAGACGGCCCTGCTGAAGGGTCTCGCCAAGAAGGCAACCAGACCACTAAGCAATGAGATCAGGCATAGAATGAAGGCGGCAAAACCCAAGCGGGCATGTAGTGTAACACTTATTGACCAATCATCACGTATTAACTGAATGAGACAGCCGGCAACACCCATGCCACCTCCTAGAATCTGGAGGACAACATGAAAGGCAGTCTTATATTTTCGAGAATAGCGAAGTGTTAGCCAACTGCCATCGTAGAAGCACATCATTCCCTCGGCCATCAGGAAAACAAAGCCAAAGGTCACCAGCCAGGCATGCAAACGGATGCCCGACAGGTCCTGGCGCAAGCAAGTCCAGCTAACCCAAATGGTAACGAATCCTATGCACAACTGGTTGATCACATATAGTGTCGATTCTATATGCTGCAGCACTGAGGTGGGTTTAGATTTTTCATCACTCATTTTGGTGCTCACTACTTTCCTCTTATTTCACAAGGATTGTTATTGTAATTTCACAGATATTGTAATTTTAATTGACAAAAATCAGAATTTCACAAGGATTTTCATATTAATTGCCAAAAAATTGATATTGAAATTTCACAAAAATTGTAATTAAATATCACGGATATGTTAATTTTAATTTCACAAAAATTGTAACTAACAATCCCTCTAAATATTAGATTTCAGAATTTACAAATCCTTGAAATTTCTCAAAAACTAAAATCTTTTATTTTCAATATCCTTTACAAGGACTTTTATGGACTTTGACTTTTCTATGGTGACTGCCGGTTGCCAAAACTTCGATCCGCTTTGCATTGCCAATTACAACTAACTATATGCGACTGAGGTTTTTATTGCCTTCAGAATGGCTTGTCACTTTCACTAGTCTGGCATACTATTGGCTTGCTATCGGTTTATCAGGAAAAAAACATTTTGGGTACCCCATACTAAAGCTTTTGACTCAAAGGATTATACAATATTATTGAGTGGGCCGTTGCATTTTCACGTTCGCAGTATCATTGGCCAAATGGTCTTATCAGACGTCCCTATCAACATCCATCGACTCATTCAATCATTGATGTCTGGGTCTTTTGGAATAGAAGCAGGAAGGATTACCATTTGTAGGCATCTGCATATGCGCTAACGCTCACGTTGACCATTTTCCTGAAACCAACAAAAGCCGGGGGCTAAATTTAGAGGGGTTATTAATATTAATTAAACTCTTGTTACTCAAGTAGTAGTCCTCATTGTTCTTGTTCCACTTATTGATAATATACAAAATACGTAGGTATATGCCTTCTGTCGAATCGTCAAGTCACCGGGTGCCTTATCGTAATGCAAAATCGCACGTACCAGATAAAGGTTACCACATACTTGAAAAATACACATATTACTATATGTCATTGGGCCAACCGTCTGGGCAGACAAAAATTATTTGAATTCGGCGAATCACCAAAAATGTTCACAATTTCAAACCCGCCACACGCCCTACGTTTAACTGATAGAAACCAGACCAATGTTTACAAATATTAAACGGTGAGTTAGCAGTTTATTTATCTAAGATCCGACATTCAGCTTGATTATGGTTTATTGGATTTAACTTCAAGTAGTACTGTAAAATATTGAGCGATTAGATCCGTGGTGCCTAGGTGCTTGATTTACGAAGCATACCACTCGATATTGGAGCTTTGAGTGTGTCAAAAGTGGCTTAGCTCCGATTCGACTTGATAATTTTCGGTTGACTTCCTGCCATAATTATCATAGATAAGAACTTTGGACGGCTTTAGATTGGTCACCACAAATGCTCTGTACGCCTCGATGGGAATGCATTTCTTTTCATTCTTGGCCAGACTTTCAAAGTACACCATTACCACGGTTTTTTCATTCTTGGTATCCACAAACTGCAAGGAATATAAGGAAATTGTAATTATTTATGCATATTAACAAAAAAATCATACTCACCCGTACTCGTTCAATATCTAGAATTTGTTTATAGCTGGACTTGTCCGAGATATATCCTGAAGGTAGGGACACCTCTAGAATGGCCATACCGGACTTCTTTAATTTACTCTTTTCCACAAAATCTACGCACACGTTTAGCTCCAGTTTGGATGATAAAGTTCTTGGCTTAACTGTCGTCTGAATCCTATAGCTTGGATTAGCTTCCTTCTCCTCCAAATCATACTTATGGCTTATCTGGATGAGAACAGCACCAGTACCCTTTGCCTGAATCTCAACATACCTAGTGTCAGAAGAGAAGCTGACACTTTGGCTTATTAAATTTGTATCGTGCTTTATAACCAATTTATTGGATCTAATCTCGTCGCTGATGCTTATTACCCAGCCATCTGCCTTATAGCCAAATTTATTAGCGAACTTAATCAATGCTGTAAGACCCACAACTGTTTGTTGACTGGAGGCAAATTCCCCGTCAGTATTTCGTTGGGCCAACAGCCATCGTACTGTGTTTATGGCGGATTCTGCCAAAATCTGTTCTGATTCCATAAGGGAAAGCAAGGAATAGGATGTGATCTCGACATCTTGATGGCTGGGCTTCTGAACATCCTCAGCCCACCAAATACGATCTTCATCCTCTTTGGAAAGGGATTTAAGTTCGGCCACAAATCGACCTGAGTTTTCGGCCTTTAACTTTTGTATGGCATAAATGGCAATTGACTCTGGCAATTGTAGATTATTTGTTTTAGCCATCTGTGATCCAAGGAAAGTGACTGCTTTGTTTATGGCTCCCATGTTGGGATTGTCCTGTTTCTGAAGACCGAGGAGAACACTGGCTGTAAAGAATACGGGTCTGTCGGCCTCTGCAAAATATTCAAAATCTTCTGTGAAACTTCCATCATCTTTCTGTCGGCTCAGTAAAAACTCGAATCCTGTCGTTAAAACATTATCATCTATATATATGATCTTCTTGATTTCGGTTAAATATCGGACGACGTAAGAGGTTAGCCAAATGGAGCCGTTGTCTGTCGGTGGACCGAAATAACTGAAACTTCCATCCTCGTGTCGATAGTTCAGTATATTCTGATAACCCTCTCGTAAGTTGTTTTGAATTTGGGAGTCCAAATCATCATCCAGCTTTTGGTTTCCCTTGAGGTAGTCCCACACCAAAAAGTTAACAACCATTTTGGACATAGTCAGTTCACCTGAACCACTGGGCAATGAGCTATCCAAATTTGAGAGGATCGTGCCTAATGGATCACCAAATAAAGTAAATCCAACATGGTCTGAATCCAAAATCATTTCCTTGGGAAAATCTATGTGGAACGAGCTACTGTATTCCTCATTATCCTTGAGATTGATTAAGATGGCACGGTTTCTATATTGAGTATTACCTTCTAAAGTAACTCGAAGTGATTCATCTACAGTAGTATTTTTGGCTGAAGAGATTATGGTAAAATCGAGTGGAAAATAACCGAACCATTTTGGAGAAAATCCCAAATCCACACTTCTTGCCCCAAATTCTTCGATTTCATATGCATAAGATTCTTTGTCCATTTCTATCTCAATATTTAATGGATCAGGAAGATGGTTAACGATCACAACCGGAACACTGATCGATTCCCCGAATTTCACTGAGATGGGTAAACGCATAGAAACGGAGTAAGGTTGGAATGTTTTGATTTTGGTAACGTTACTTTGGAAGACACCCAATCCCTTTTCCGGGTGTAAAGAGATGCCGGTGATTGCCCAAGTGCCCAAGGAGTCGGGCAACTTCGTAACCAGTTCCGTCACCTCTCCGTTTGTCTTTTTAATATCCGTAAATAACCAAGTTTCCATAGGGTCTAAAGGAGGACCCAGGGACCTATAATTTTTGGCAAATCTCTTGCGAGGGGAAACGTCAGTGTCTAAAGAAAAATGTTGTATTTTATAAAAGTATCATTAATCTATATTTATATTTACCTATATCGAACGGTCGAAATTGTCTTTTTTCAATCTTAGCATTAGTCATTGTAATAAGTCCAAGTTTCGATCCGGGAACTTTTTTATAGGTGTGCAAATGATAATCGCGTAAATGCTCATCCAACCTAGAGATATCTATATGATAATTTCTGGGCCATTGAGTAGGTAGCTTCATATCTGATAAGGCATTTAATAATTGGTTAGCATCTAAATGCAAATCTATATCGCGTAACTTATTGAAGTCTCTTATTCTTATATCAGAAATCCTCTCATCAAGAGCTAAAACGCCGACGAATGAATCCGGTTCAGTTTTAATTTTTAGCTCGATTTCTTCGCCTGGACATCCAGTATTCGGTGCAGATATGCTGATTTCATTTGGAAGGGTAACCGTGACTATATATTGAGAGTTGGTGTACTGAAGGATTCCCTTGTAATCTACAAAATACGCATAAATATAAAAATGGGGCGAAAAGAGATGCGTAGCCTTCAGGGTGAAGTTGTAGACCACCTTGGGCTCGGCCAACTCAACACGTTCGGTGTGTAGTATAAGACCTCGGGCAACTATGTTATATATAAAGTACGTGATCGGTTCTTTGGAGTTCACTGTCACCAGGAACTCATCGCCAACAGTCAAAGCAGCTGGGAATCCTTTGCTATTTTTCGGTCCATGGATCTGGAGGAAGAAATTCACATCTATTTGGGGAGTGAAATAGGCATTTGTCACATCTATCATAAGGCCCACGGTTGGTGTGTGTGTTTTCTGGAGTTCGTATCTTTCACCTTTGTATTCTGCAGAGATATCATAGTAGGGCCAATTGTTTTCCTCCTGTGGTAAGTCAGAAAGGTTAGCTGTAAAGACGTACAGTCCTGACTTATCCAAATGCCCCACAAATTCATAAACATTTTTTTTAGCATCGTCTTCAATATATTTCCTGAAATAAGGTTTAACTTTTTCCGTTCCCTCGCTGTAAATTAACTAGAAAATATAATCAACAATAGGATAACGAATGTCTTTCTATGCTCATAACAATTTATCACCTTAACAACGGACTGAGTGTCGTTCACCAGAGATCCGTCTAAATTTGCTATTTTTATGAAAACCTTATTATCCTTTTCCCTCCAAGGCCTCATGCATGACTGATCGGCACATGTTATGATATGGCGATGTGAAAGTAGGTAAACCTTTGATACTTTTGAGATTTCTTCACCGCTGATATCATCCTTCACTGTAGCATTTATTGTTGCCAAATAGGTCGATTCTATAGGGCTTATATGTTTGGCAACATCCGCAAGATTTATATTAAACACAGCCTGACCTTTGACTAAGACACCATTGGCTGTTATTGTCTTATTGAATAGGTGATTCCTTTTCTCTTCTGTTTTCAGGTTAATATTTATGATACCTTTTCCATTTACGGGGCTGCCGTATGAGTGTCTTAAGAAGGAAAGGATGTTCAAAATAATAAATTTAAAAAAAGACTTACCCTTCAATACTCACTTCGCTTTAACCACAATTTTCATTTCGTCATCTTGTATACTGACATACTTTGGGACATCTAACTGTATAGAGAACCCTGGCACCTCGTCAGGAATTACATCAAAAAAAATAAATGTGCTCGTATGGGCCCTGTATTCTTCTCCTTCGGAATCTTCGATATTTAACTCCCATTGCCCCAGAGCTGCTTTCTTAGACAACTGAAAGTATCCAGAGTATACCCCGTCTACTACTTTGCTATTTCTAGCTTTATCTACAACGATTCTTTCGGGATCCAATAGGCAGATAACCAATTCATCGGCGTATAAGTCTGGGCGAAGCTGTTCGTTTAATACCAAAACTCGATACTTTATTCTATCGCCAGGTCTGTAATCATCCTTGTCTAATAGTATAAAAACGAGTGGATCATCGCGCTTGAAATAAAGACCAATTGAGTCCTGAAACTTTAGTCCTGATATTACTTCAGCTGTCAAGCTATAATCCCCCTTGGTAAGATCTGGTACTTTAAAGGTGACGCCTTTAAGTTCTTGGCTTGTGTGGAGCTCCACTTCCTGGGATCCATTGTATGAGGGTCCTGTAATGCCAACCTTTATGGTCACTGGCTCTTGGATCTGATAAATGGCAACGGTTATTTTGAAGTCACGATTGGGCAATATTGCTCCAGGTGCCACTATACTATATAGTCTGAGTTGAAATAAAGACACGTTGAATATGTATTAACAGAAAGTTCATTTCTTATATTAAGTTTTTCATCCACTAAAGTAATATTTCTATAATTTTAAACTTACCCATTGCCACATGCGAATCCAAAAAGATGAAACCACAAACAAAAAACACCAGCAATCACTGTTAAGTTAATTATTAAACTCATTTTGATATTATTTTATATTTGATTATGCCCGATAGACATTTTTAATTGATTTCGTAGAAATGAAAAGCAACCTACTGCATACACAGCAGAACTTTGACTGTTCAAATGGGATGAACCCTTCCACTTAGGATGTGGCACCTCCCATCCTGCAATACAAGTCATTCCTGTTCTTCTAGTTTAGACACTCTTTTCTGGATTCCATTGCATTGCACTTTGGCTATGTTGCATATTATTATTTGGTGGCTTCTTTAATAAGAGAATGGCCTGTCAAAGATTCTCTCTATGCACTTGTATATATTTAACAAAATCAATTTATACTTCATTGTTACCTATCAAAAAATCTTAGTTAATTCCTACAAACTCTATGTTTATTTTGAGGATATTAAGCTGTCAAGATTATGATGTTATATGTTATTTATTGGCTTATAAAAGTCTCATTTGTTAAGTCTGTTTGATATTTGCTTTTGAACTTATGATCTTAGAAAATGTCAAAAAAACTTATTTTGTAATATTAATAATTAATTAATTAATAATAGTCCTAACAACAATTGAATTAGCATCAGCAATTTAACTCTATTAAAAGTACTTGAAATTAGAAATAACTTAATGGCCTGGCTTTAAATAATATGAGTTTTGTACTCTAATTGGCCAACTCTGGCTAAAACCATTAAGACCATAGTCACGACCTGCATAAGGATAACTAAGTCCTCCCCTTGGCCACTGAAAATCCCAGTTTGTATCCATAAAAGTGGCGATCACTAATTCGGTGAAGCTGAAACGTCTTGTTGATCAGCGGTAAGACGACCCTGCTGAATGGCCTTGCCAAGAAGGGGTGCAGACCACTAAGCAATGAGATCAGGTGCAGAACGAAGGCTGCAGTATCAAAGTGTTAACGAACTGCTATGGTAAAAACACATCATTCCCTCGGCCATCAGGAAGACAAAGCCAAAGGTCACTAGCCAGGCATGCAAACGGAGATTAGTCTGCAAATGGTATCGACGCAAGGGAAGACCACAATATATATTTTTTTATTTAATAGTAATGAAATTGATGAGAATGATGGAGTTGGAAATGAATACATAGAATAATGTTACAAAAAAACGTTCTTCTTGAATAACTTTTATATTTATTATCCGATCTGGACCAATTTTGCCGGACATATTTAAAATAGGACATTCATCCAAAAGCCACTCCAGAATTGGGGCCTCTAACTTAAAAATTGACACGCCCACTTTTCTTAAAAACCTTCCTATAGTAATAAACATCATTATAAAAGCAACCTGTATTGAAAAATCTTGTTATTTTATTTATTTTTTTTTTTGCGCAAAGAGAACAGCACGTTCATTAAGACGCCTAAAGATTTTTTATCACTCATGCATTGATGCAAAATCTCAAGTACTAGATAAAGGTTATATTATTATATGTCATTAGGCCAATAGTCAAAACCAAAATGTTTATATTCAGCAATTCACCAACAATTTTCACAATTTCAAACCTGCCACACGCCGTAAGTTTAACTGATGTAATCTAGAACAATGTTTACAAATATTAAACGGTGAGTTAGCAGTTTATTTATTTATCTAAGATCCGACATTCAGCGTGATTATGGTTTATTGGATTTAACTTCAAGTAGCACTGTAAAATATTAAGCGATTAGATCCGTGGTGCCTAGGTGCTTGATTTACGAAGCATACCACTCGATATTGGAGCTTTGAGTGTGTCAAAAGTGGCTTAGCTCCGATTCGACTTGATAATTTTCGGTTGACTTCCTGCCATAATTATCATAGATAAGAACTTTGGACGGCTTTAGATTGGTCACCACAAATGCTCCGTACGCCTCGATGGGAATGCATTTCATTTCATTCTTGGCCAGACTTTCAAAGTACACCATTACCACGGTTTTTTCATTCTTGGTATCCACAAACTGCAAGGAATATAAAGGTAATTTTAATTAATTATGGATACTAACTAAAAAATCATACTCACCCGTACTCGTTCAATATCTAGAATTTGTTTATAGCTGGACTTGTCCGAGATATATCCTGAGGGTAGGTACACCTCTAGAATGGCCATACCGGACTTCTTTAACTTACTCTTCTGCACAAAATCCACGCTCACTTTTAGCTCCAGTTTGGATGATGAAGTCCTTCGCCTATTTGTATTCCTTCTCCTCCAAATCATACTGATGGCTTATCTGGATAAGAACAGCACCAGTACCCTTTGCCTGAATCTCAACATACCTAGTGTCAAGAGAGAAGCTGACACTTTGGCTTGATTTGATTTAATTTCGCTACAAAACGACCTCAGTCTACGGCCTTTAACTTTTGTAAGGCATAAATGGCAATTGACTCTGGCAATTGTATAATCTTTGTTTTAGCCATCTGTGATCTAAGGAAAGTGACTACTTTGTTTATGGTTTCCATGTAAGGATTATCCTGTTTCTGAATACCCAGAAGAACACTGGCTCTACAGAATACGGGCCGACGCCTGTGCAAAATATTCAATATTCGTCCGCGATCTTCTTCACATAACTGCCGGCTCCTATGCAGCCCAGCAGGCAGATCATGTCGTCAATGAGAACTCACTCCCGGCTATTAATAATTCGATTTGTTTTGTTTTTTTTTCTCTGTGAATGCAGCGCAACCAGTGTTACCAGACGCTCAGTGTTGCAGATGACCAACTGCGAGAAGCCACCTATCGCTTAAAAATGTTAAGTGATGACTTTCGGCGATATTTTTCGAAATTAGCTCTAGCTGAGATTTTTATGCGGGAACCTTTCTATATTCAAAATACTCTGGGTTAAGTATTTGCGGTTTCAGAATAAAGTAAACAATTTTATAAATATCGGTCAACTATGTAACATTAATTAACTGCAAAATAATGCATCCTTAAGTTAATATATTAAAATTGTTGAGTTAAGATATGGAAATGATACTAATTCTATAGTTTCTACAATTGCGATGTAATATTTTTGTAGCATACTTTTTGACCGATTTTAACAGACTTACTTCTTACTTTCGTTCAAACTCGGTTTGTCACCAGAACAACTCTGAGGTGGTTGTTTTCGCTAAACAAGCATGAAACAAAATAATTTGCTAGTACACAAAAGTTGGCTGATATGAAATATGAAAACGTTTCCGTTATTTTGAAATGTGAAAAATAAAGAACATAATTTTTCTCAAATGTACATCTCGATTACCTTTTTTTGTGGGATATTTAATTTTAAAAAGGTTTTTTAAACTTCTGCTTAAAAGAGAGTGCAGCTTATGTTTGTTTTTGATGTAAGTAAATAAAATCAACTAAAGTCCGTTGTTAAAAGTGTTGTCAATAATGTCTTCTACAAAATGTTTGATGGTCAATCGATCAAAATTTCCAAGATTGGAGTAGCACCTATGTTCGTGTCCGCGGTGGTAGATCAAAGTCTAGCGGAGTTAACTACTCTATCACCACTAATATAGTTAGCATGGAAAGTTGACAGCAGACGTCGACCATGAACTGCGATTAGGAAAGGATATCATGTCTTACCTAGGTGGTTGGTTTCAGTACGATTTCGTCCAATTTATTTGTTAATGAAATCTTATATAGTTAAAGTTGGTTTGGAGGAGGAAAGTAAATATATCTTGAGTCGTTTAAATACAGCTATTAATTTTTATTAATCGGTCCTTGAACATTTTAAATCCATATCCTTAATTTAATTTAATAATTTGGCATTGCCAAATATATACTCGCAATAATGAAACCAAAAGGTTCACCTTTTAAGAATGATATTACTCGAAAAACGAAGTATTAATTATCTCTGTGTATAAGGACATAAGATCTTAGACTGCAATCCAAAGTGCTTTAGCTTTTCTGGGAATATTGTAAAAGAAGGTAATTTAAACTTAAACGTAATTCCTTCATGCCATTTTTATATAAATTGAAAATTTTAAAAAATCTTAGCAGTAAAATGATAGTAACCGTGGGTCGTCCCATAGCAGAGTGGGAAAACTCAACCGGCTTCTTGGACAATAAGAATGAATACTCACAAGAGTTTCCCACCGTATTCATTGTCTCCATCCGATTCCAAGGCATTTACTTCCTCACAAAACTCCAAGTACGTAGTTTGCGGCATTTATTAAATATCAAACCGTTAATGATTCGCGAAATGATATTTCCCGCCGCAAGCCACAAAAGTCAATTAGATGAGCGATCATCCAATTGATTTTCAGTCGAGTCGTTGACATGGCTCTGATAATGAGATTCTGTAATCGGCTGTAAACGCCCAGCTGATAATTGTGATCGAGTTTAGCTAAAGCGTTTGCCCACTTTTTGCGTGAATGTCATAAATGTACGCCTAGAATTTCCCATGTCTACGATGTCTGCCCCAACTCGGTCTAGTGCTACGTCACAGAGAGCATGTAGAACCGGTAATTCAGACTCAACACGTTTCAGTGGGAAGAAACGCGTGCCTCTGTAGGAACACCGGGCAATGCCTCAATCAGCTGGGCAGATTGTAATCAGGGGCTGACTTCGGGGGGATCCGACCTCTGGGCTTAATCAGGGGAAAATCTCAAGTCTCCCTCATTGAATTTCCTAGTCAGGTGGGTCAGGTTGGGCAGATAATGATGGAGTGTAATGCTGGGTTCAGGAAATATATTGACAAGTTTAATTTTTTCTATTATTATTATAAATAAATATCAATTTAATGTCAGATTAGTAAAACTGATTAAAAGTCGGGGACTGGTCTTTACTTAGTAGAAAGGTTCCAAAGAGCTTTTCATTAGATTTCCCTTAAGAGACTCCCCCTCTCAAGCTGCGCCCCTGTTCTTAGTTAGCAACTAATCACTTGATCAGTGCGATTTGTTGGCGTTTCACAGCCAGGCAAGAGAGGCAGATGACGTGCTAACTCTGACTGGAGAGCCGATCTATCAAAGCCCAGAATGCATCGCACTAAAAATAGTTTCGGACTGGCGGCAGACTATAAAACCAGGTAGCCTGATCGGACAGATCAACAGAGTGCAATAGCCGGTAGAACCAATAGCTCCTCCAGTTGCAGCTGATCCAATAAATCGACATAGAATGTGGACTCAACTATTTGCAGTTCTGCTTTTGGTGGCAACACTGGGTGAGTTTGCTTGAAGAGGTTTACAAAATGTGGCAGCTTATAGTAATGCATGCATAATTACCTGCAATTAGCTCAAGGCAAGCCCAGTGGAAACGGAGTCGAGGCCGAGGGCGACTACGATGCTGAGATGAGCGAGTTCATGGATGGGATTCCGGACCTCGATGATACGCCTGATGGCTTTGGTCAACGATCGGATATCTCGGAGGAACCGGAGTCGGATGAAATTTTGGCCAACCTGGATGATGAGTACGAGGGAGCCAAGCACTGCGCCTGGAATACCTGTGACAAGGATCTCAGCGAGTCGCGAGGCATTAGCAAGTTCCTGGACCTGCCCTTCATCAAAAAGATAGCCAGCAACCTGAATCCATTCGGCAGCAAGAAGCTGCGCATGCAGTTCTACCTCTTCAAGCGGGAGTTCCCCGAGTGTGGCAGGGAACTGGATTTCTCCAGCGACCGCAAGTGGAGGCACTCTGGCTTTAACGCCTCCCTGCCCACCAGACTGATGATCCACGGCTGGATGAGTCAGTCGCGCGGCTCCTTCAACCGGGATGTGAAGAACGCCTATCTCAAGAAGGGGGAGTACAACGTGATCGTGGCCGACTGGAGCGCAAGCTCAGCCAACATCAACTACTTCTCGGTGGTGAATCTAATCGAGACCTTCGGAGCTCAGTTGGCTCAGTTTACCAGGAACCTCAACCGTCAATTCGGAGCTGATTTCGATAGCATGTACCTTATTGGGCACTCCCTGGGTGCGCAGATTGCTGGCTCTGCGGGAAAGCGCTTGAAACCGGACCAGGTAAACACCATTTTCGCATTGGATCCCGCTGGTCCGAAGTTCCGTCATCGCAGCGCCGAGTTCCGGATTGATCCCACCGATGCCAAGTTCGTGGAGTCCATGCATACGAGTGCCAACTTCGGCTTCCGCCGTCCCACAGGCAGCGCCACCTTCTACCCGAACTATGGAGCTTACCAGCGCAGTTGCTACTACCTGGGCTGCTCCCACATTCGGTCCTACCAGATGTTCGCCGAGTCCATCAATTCGCCAGTGGGATTCTGGGGCACACCTTGCACTCGGGACAACGGCAGGTGGCAGTGCGACCAGAGCCAGCGGCAGTCCATCCCGATGGCAGGTGAGCCGTCGGTTCACAAGGAGGGCATTTTCTATGTGAAGACCTCGTCCAGCGATCCCTTCGCCCTTGGAAAGCAGTGAGCTTGGATTTAATCTTAAGATTATTTAAAACGTAGTCGTAGGCCCTCATTGAATGTGATTTAACTATGCCAAATACAAATAAAAAGGATGAAACAATTTATACCTACACTGATAGTTTAACTTGGCCATTTAGTGATATTAACTAAGTATAAATATTCGAAACATAGCACTCTCTTAAACATCCTGTAAAAAACTAATCATAATCCCAGGTTAGTAAGCTGTAGGTCGGCCTTCATCACTTCACATTCACTAGCTTCATCTCAAAATAAAAATCAGTTCTCCAGTTATATAGCTTTTCCTCAAGATGTCCGCCGAAGTTGAGGAGCTGCTCAAACGCTATCAGAGTTTCCCGAATGTGGTTGGTGTTATTATTTTGGACCCCTTCGCCATACCCATCAAGACGACCATGGAGTACACACTGACGGTGCACTACGCGGGATTGATCAGCACCCTGACCTACAAGGCGGCCAAGATGGTGACCAATTTGGATGCCAGCAACGAGTTGACGGGCCTGCGTCTGCGCACCAAGGTGCACGAGGTGATCGTCCTGCCCTCCGAGAACTACATAATCATTGTGGTGCAGACTCCGGGCACTTGATCTGTATGCCCTGTATCCCCTGACTTGGCTATGCCCTCCAATAAACCATATACTCTTGTGTTGGCCCAAATGCAATTGCCTTTATCTAGTTTTAATTAAAGTTGGGAAGTGTCTGGGCCAATGGCGCATCTTTGGCGATGTGAAATATGCGAGTTGGCGCTGGCTTGGCGTTAATTGCTGCAGATAAATACACGCCGCGTCGCCATAATTACGACAGACAGATTACGGGCCGCACTTAATTGTCCGCCGTAAAGTGTTTGCCGGTATCTCTAATCCGGCCAGCGAAGAAGTGGCTAAAGCCACACCCACTCCGCCCTAAGACAGGGGCTCCTGCTCGATTTTAATTATTCGGCGACGTTCTCACTCTCAGCCGTTTGCATATTCATTGGATCTCCTTACGGCGGCCGGGAAATATGGCCCGGGCTTGCATCGCTTTGATTTCCATTACGGCGATTTCACAGATTTTTTACGCCCTCCGCCTGCTGAAACTTTGGCTGCAATGTGGTCTCGGCCATGGCCAGATAAGCTATCCGAGTCGTTTGAAAAAGTGGCCAAGGAAAGAGATAAAGGTAAGAGGTTCCAAAGTGATTTTAATACTTCGTCGATTTTCTTGGAGGAGGAGGTAAGGATTTTATTAGCTTAAGGAGGCGCGATCGGGGATATGAATGGGTTTTCTTGTTTCTGACTTTCTCTAGCCAAATTTTCCGATCGCCCTATCCTTGAGAAAAGCTGTCATTCGATTTTTCCAACTCTCTAACCCTCTATCCAGATTATTTCATTTTAAATTCAGGTTTCGGACTGTAAAGACCTCCAAAAAACAAAAAAAAAAACAAAATTTATAGTATAAATTTCCAAATTAGTGATATTTTCTAAAAAAAAAAATAGTTATGGAGTACGGAAACGGTATGCAATACGAAGGCTATGGCCAGGGCGGAGAAGTGAGTATGAAATGACCTTTGCTTTTTACGGCCTTATACGATTTTTTTGTGCAGGGCTATGAGATGAACTATGACCAGATGGGCCGTGGCCAAGGATACGGCCAGCAGGAGGGTGGCTTTGGGCAGGAGTCAAGGAACTACCAGAGCGGATCGGCGGCTCTCGGAGGTCCCGGATACCGCAGTCCACTGCGGTACAACAAGATCCTCCGCGAAATGAACTCGCGCAACGGACTTTAGTAAGCTTAGTTTACTCTTGGTGTCTATGAAGTCTGATGTTCCTTTCTATAGTTCCCCAATGGAGCAGCAACGAGGAGCTGGCCAGGGCGATTACTATAACACCCTGCCCGGCCTTGGCGGAGCGGAAGGTCAAGCCTACCAGCAGCGTGGCAATGGAAACTCCTACTTCTGAATGTGTGTGCCCATGCAGTTTGTGGAATTTATGGCATGCATTTTGGCGTCTCTCTCACGTTAAATAAAGTTTGAATTCAAATTATTAAGCCTTCCATTTCCTCGGAAATATTAGTGAAAAAGGTCGGTTTGGTTTATTTAAAGGTTTGGTATAACTCTTTTTACTTAGTAATACAGTGGCGGTCTTACCTTAAAGGGTAAATTTCAAATTAAGGTTTGAAATCATTTGAAAAAAGTTCTGTGGTTTCAATAAAAAGATTTCAATTTTAAGTCCCTGGCTGGCCTTGATTTTTTTAATATAAATTTTAATACTGATGTATGGGTGGAAATGGATGTTTAGTTGGCAGGCTCGAGGTTGTGGGTTGATCTTCCTTCTGCTGCCGTGTGTTGGAGGCCGAAGTGACTGTAGGGTGGTTGTAAATGGCCCCTTGGTAGCGGCTCCGATGTATTCGTCGTCTTTGGCTTTTTGAGCTGGTAGTGAGAAAGGTTCAAAGCCTAGCTAAGCGCGGGGGTTTTGGAGACTTGGGGGCTGATGAGCGGGGAGTTGGAGAGTTAGAGTACTACGAGGGGGAAGAGTAAAAGTGGGGTAAAAGCGGTACCTTTTGGCTTGGCCTGAATACTTAAAAACTAATGGTAAGATAGCATTTCGTGTATTTCAAAACTTGTAAATGGTAGAAGAAAAATAAAGTTTGGGACGTTAAGCCTCCGAGGACTCTTTTCTCCTTTTCAGGCGGAGACTTATTGTGGTCAGAATGGGACTTCGCTTACTGGTAGCTGGAAAGTATGGCTTGGACCTAAAAAACGTTTTCTTTTTTTACGAACTTGTCGCCTTTCTTAATCTAGTAATATTTTCTTTTTAGGACTCCGAAAATGCCATTCGAAGGCTCATTCGATTTAATCTTTCACGAAGCAACAACCAGAAAAATTTGTAACTAAATTGTATTGTTAAAAATTTTTATACCAAAAATGGATTTAGACTATTCCATGTATGCTCAGCTGTCCGGCCTTTCCTTAATGCCAACCCCGCAAGAATTCTATCCGGAGGTGAGTACTATAATCAATCCTTGTTCCATAATCCTCTGGATTGCTGAAAGTGCTTAGATAAGGGGCGGAATGCAGCAACAGCCTCAGCAAGGTGGCGACTTTGATCGGGGATCCAGCCAGATGTCCACATATCAGCCTCCTCCAGCACCTGTCCAGGATAGGTACCATCATGGGACTGCGGACATGTACGATGGCCTCCAAGCAGGTTCCTATAGTCCAGGGCGCTACCAATGCTCCAGTCCTTCCGAATATCGCTGCATGATGAAGGAACAGAAAAGAGCTAAGGAAATGATGTCCCGCAATGGCTTATAGTAAGTATATGTCTTAAGAAGTTAATACAGATGCAGTAACTATTTCGTTTAGTTCGCCTATGGAAACCTCTGCGCGATACAGCGGCGGAGATGCCAATTACTATTCAAATTATGCAGGTGGGTACAGCCTTTAAGGATATATACAATATACATATATCCTTATATAATCGAGTATTTCTTTCACAGAGAGCAATAGGCAAAGCAGGCCCGGCGGTGGAAATTCCTATTGGTGAACTGTAATCCGTTAAAATACTAATAAAAAAAGTGAAAACGTTTTTTAAAACCAAAACCTCGTAGCGATTTGGGCAATCCTAAGTGACCTTATTTCTATGGCCTTACTGTGCATTTTCAAACATTGCCAAACCAAAGAACTCATTTTGTTCATATTTTAAGGCTATATGTTTAGATAAATGAGCGAAGCAGAGCAGTTGACACTGCTTGAGGGTAATTAACGTGTGTTTTATGGCCATTTGCCACTGCATGGAGCCACACGCAGCCGACCGTCGACCCATCCCGATCCGCCCACCACATCACACAGTGGCCCCACCCAGCCGTCAGGGGAGGAATAGGAATCCGGATGGCATGGCAGAGGTGGGTGGTTGGTTGGCTCAAGTCTCCCAAACCAAACAGAATGCAATGAAGGATTAAAATAAGAAAGATGTGCAAATAAAATATTTTACAAAGCGGACAACGAGGACAACTTTTTGTCCTGGCCAGGGAGTGGAAAGTGGGTGTGGATGTGGGTGACGGTCCGAAATGCGAACGGAACATGAACATGTCGATGTGGAGTGGGACCGAGACAGAGACGGACTGGGCAGGGGACGCGGACGAGTACGAGAACGAGGACGAGGACCAACAATGGCAACCAGACTGAAGCTCAAACCAGAAACTTGGCCCACTCGGGGATCGTGGCATCGGTGGGTTGGCAATCCGAAGAGGGGTTGCCACTGCATGGTAGCATTGTCAAAATAAATCAATCGGTTTTATGTTGTTTTCTGGAATTTCTGTTTTGTTGCTTTGTTATTTTGTTGCCCACCGCCGTCGACATCAGGATGCCCCGGTGTGGAACAGTTGCAGGAGCTGCAGGACCAAGAACAACAGCTACAGCTCCAGCTTGCGGTGGCATAAATCAGTTGGCCGTTGGACCCATTTATGAAAGGATAAACCCAGCGCAGGCAGGACTGGGGGATCCCCGAGGTAGGGCGGAGGGTGGCAGCTCATAAAAATGCATAAGTTCCCAAAAATTGTGTAAATAAAAATACAAATTTTTAACCGGTTAGAAATTTGAGATTTATCTCGAAAGGAATTAAGATGTCTCAAAAGTTCCAGCGGGCCACATTAAAACATAATCCAAGGAGAGATCCCAAAATGGTCTGGGGACTGGGATTGGGATGGGGTGGGGTGGGTGTAAAGTAAGCCCAACGCCTCTCGAATTCCTTCTATCAGCTCCTCATAATCGTTCACACTTCCTCTGCCGGCAAGTTTGGCTTTGTGGCTGACGGCCATGAGGAGAGGGCCAAGGGGCAGATGGTTTAACGAAACTTTACTGCATCTCTTTGGACGCGTCTAAAGTGATTTCCTTTTAGGATTTTCAAAAACTTTCACCAAAGGTAAGTAAACATCGCACTCTTCCCACTCACACAGGGACACACATTCTGCCAGCCAGCCACACATGGATCTCAGTCCGAATCCTTGGCCATGTGGCCCTGCCCTAATGAAGCACATACCGCCGGCGCATTTGCCTCGACTCTTTAATCCCTAATAACTTTTAAGCAAGTGACTTTGCTACGCACACAAAATGTCCAAATTCATCATCTTTGGGCTGGCATTGAATGTGGGGACAGGCCGGAGCTGTTTGCTGTTAGCTGGTCGCTCCTCTCAGCAAGCCCAAGGACTTATCCTCAATTCTGAGTTCTGGTCCTGGTCTTAAAAAGTGTCAGTTCATTAGCAAATGGAACATTTTAAACATGAAAAGGCGGAAATAAATCTATTCTAAGCGATTATCCAAATTGCAATTAAATGGAAATTAAAATAATATTCGGAAGGCTATTTAATGTTTTGATATTCCGGGAGATCAGCCGCTGATTACCCAAAAATACTCATTAATTGGACCATTATTAATAAGCTCTGAGATTAATATTTTATCTGCCGCACTTAGTTTGTTATTTTTTGGGCAAAAACTTTGTTTCCTCCGGGAAATGAATGTTTATGCGTAAAATGAAAAGTGCGTGAAAAATGTGATCCGAAGATGGCCGGAAAAGGCAGGGCAAGGAAGGAAATTGTTTTTAAATTAAGATGGCAATTTCCCAAGTTAAGGGCCTGTCAGGGCAGTGGGGTAAACTTATGTTTTGCTCGGCGGCCAAGCGGAATTTGATTATGTTCGCGGTTACACTTCATTCGTTACATCGATGTCATCCAACCACCTGAAAGCCGCCTCCCCCAACGCCTGGAAGTTGACATAAATTCGAAGAAGTCCCCCTCTTCAGATGGAAGCTATTGTAGCCCCAACAGGGAATTTATGCGATCAATTAAATTTTTCAAATGACCGAAGAAAAGTTGTTCTCGCTTTTTAATTTTCATAAATTTTACTTAGGTATTGGGCCTGCCGCAGGAAATTTGTTCTTATGGCCGCTTAATGTGTCAAGTTTTCCGTGTTTAGTATCTGCGGGAGTTATGAAAATGATAATCAGATTTTATGATGATTAGAAATTAGAAATTTAGTGCCGGCGATGAGAATTTATTGTAAATGAGCAGAAACTTTCGGGGGGAGTGAGTCGAGTGCCAGGTCGAGGCAAAATGTGTCCAGCGAAAGTAAATCAAATGTAAATCATCGACAGCCAAAAACCGAAAGAAAAGCCGGACAAACTTTCGTCTTTGGCGGAGCCAAAAATGAAATACAACACATTTCGGGGGAAACCTTTACAACTAAATGCGGATAATCTGTAAGTTTGCCTTGTGCCCAAATTTATGGGCGAATGGGCGAATGGGTGGAGTTTTCCCCATATATTGTTGTTGTGCTTTTTCTTGGGTGCTGCTCCCTCTGTATAGTTTTTCCCTCTGGGCGCTTTCCCGCTCCCTTGACCGCCTCTCCGCTCTCGGTTCTCCTTCGTCTATCTTTGCCAGCAAGTGAAAAACGCAGCCCGCAACTAAAACATGCGCATTCAATGGGTGAAGCCGCTTTTCCCACCCACTTTTCCACCCCCGCTAGCCTTCTCTCTTCTGCTGCAATTCATTTTCAGCAGGCGTGTGTGTGTGTGTGTGTGTGCGGAGATTTACCGTTTTATACTTGACATTTCCAAAAGTTTAAGTTTTAATTTATGACACCGCCGCTTTCTATACGAGGCGACAAGCTAAATATGAGCGAATGGGGCGTCCTTAAACAGGATATCTAGCCATTGTCGCTGCCTCCCGTCTCCTGCAGCTCAAGGAACGTTCCCAGCTTTGGGAATCCATGAAAGTAGTTGTCCAGTTCTTCACCGTCTTTTATGGGCTAAGAATCAGCTCTTGAGGATACAAAACTCTTAAAACGAAGCGAAGAATCTCTGAAGATGGGAAACTTGACTATTATGAGTTTTTAATTGTGTTTAATTTACATTGTTGAAGTTTAAGTCTCTTTAATTTTAATTTGGATTTAATAGTTGTTTTCGACAATTATATACAATAATGTAAGAGTTTATTTATTCGAAGACTAACTCGATTTAACAACTCAATACATTTTACAGATTATTGTAAAACTAAGAATGCATCACCGTTTGTCAGGTAAGGTAGTCAGTTAAATATCGATAGTTGGTCCACTTTTAGTTCAGTATTGCATTTGTGGTTCTTTGTATTTGGCCACACTTTTATTGTGGTCTCAAGTTAGGTGAAGTTTGGCGCTGGGTTACTCCGATCGGCGAATCCTAGATAGTATGGAGGAGATACTGCTGTAGATAGAAGATACAAGGTTGTATTCCTTATTTCGGCGAAGCACTGAGTCTTAGAGGCCGAAATTTAATTCGGCGTCACCATCATTTTTCACTAAATTATTTCCAAGTCCAATTTAATATTGAAGGAAAACATAAATTAGTCTAAGTAATATTGGGTTCCCTAAGATAAAGTTATATTAAAACAAACTTTTCTAATAGGAAAATATTTTATAAATTATGAAAGAGGTAATCCTTGCAGGACAACAAGGAGTAGAGGTAGCAGTTTTCACTCAATCGCATTGCCAGTAAGTGGAAATTTTTAAATGTTTCAGTTATTTCAGCTTTTTATTACATGTAAATTAATGTGCATTTAATGAGCACTTTTAACATTTGTGGAGGAAACAAGTGGTTTTCCGTGTAATTGGTATAAAATTATTTACAGTTCTTACTTTCCCGGTTAAGGGATACTCCCCATCAGCTTGCCATCACCTCAGACTTTTCCCATCAAGAGTTGGCTATTGGTGAGCATGTAATTTGCATTTTCGAGTCCGAAATGAACTAATAAACACACCGGAACCCGAGTCAACAAATTGTCGACTTGTGCACCGACCCCTTATGGAGGTCAGAGGTCGAGCTGAAAGCAGAGTATGAGCTGGTGGGGGTGAAGTGTCCGCTAGCACACGGTTAATAGGCACAGCCGCGGGTTCTTGGCTCAAATTGAAAGTTATTCAAGGCAAAAGGTCGGAGACGAGAGCCACTGGGGCCAACCCGTCGCATCGTGGTTGCCATGGATGGCCGTGGTTGGCCTATGGGCCTGCTGGCGGAAATTGTTACACGATGCCAGGCCGGGAAACGGGAAAGCGGGAAAATGGCAACCGCAACAGCAGCAGTTATTGCCGTTGTTGTTATGGTTTCACTGGTTTTTTTTCAGCAAATAAGATTCGAAAAGTTTATGCCGCTGGCTGTCACGAGGCAGTGGAAAATGAAGCCGAAAGGGGCTGCCCCCAGCGACCTGCGTGTGATTCGCTTAGAGGAAAACTCCCTCCCCTCCGTCCTCCATCTCCATCTTAGTGAATATTTAACAAGCGGCAGGAAACGGAAACCGAAATAGCGCAAGTGTTGCTCAGTTTAATCTATTTCCTGCCTGCTCCAGGCCCGATCCCTGCAATCTTTAAATACACAAATTTACAGGCGAAACTTAACTGAGTTCCAGCGAGACAAGGAATCGCCTTCTGCCTGTCCGGACTTAAGAAAATTCGTTTTAAAAATTTTTTCATATCGTTAGCGGCTGTTCCTATTGCCTGAAATGGAACTTCATTTCGGCCTGGCCCTGAATGGCTCATAAAAATGTGCGGTTAATATACCCGGAAGATTGTCCAAGAAA